CTGCGTCTTCCTGGAGAATTCTTTGAGCCATCATCGCCACCTTCCACTCCACGTACATCACATAGTGCCTCCACGTACGTTCGAGAGCTGCGCACCACGCTTCGGGACCTTGTTCCTGTGATTCCTGCCGACCGACACCCCCAGTCTGCCTTTGTCAGCCAGGATCTGCATGACTGCAGTCACGTCTTCGTTCGGCGTGACCAAATACGGCCACTCTCACGCCAGCCTATGATGGCCCATTCCGCATACTCAATAGTACACCTAAGACGTTCACGCAGGACATCACTGGCCATGAAGACGTCGTGGCTGCTGATCGACTGAAACCTGCGTATATCGCCGCTCTCACGGCCGCGGGGTTTCAATCTTCAGTCTGGATGCCCACATCCAAGCATGTCCACTGGGCCACTCCTCTGATGACTCTTACGGCTCTCGCTCTACGGGGGGGGGAGCCCTGTAGCGCCCCAGAATGCGGCGCTCATCAAAAAAAAAGAAGTTAGCATTGGGCCGCGCGGCAGCTGCAGCGAGATAATAAAAAAGTCTGTTCGAAAACTGAATGCTGTCAGGGCTTGATCTTCCTCGTGTTAGCTCCAACACAAGCATTCGTTGTTATTTTGGGTTTTCCCTCGCTGGCATCGTTGCAACAGCTTTCTGTCTGACAAGCGCTCACAAGTGGGAAGTAAGGCTTGGCAGACATGTGGAGGCAGTCTTCGACGATGTTTGGGAATGGGCTCCCCCTTGGCCTTTGCCGCATTTTGTTTGCACCAGGAATTTGGACCAGGTGGACACAGAGTGTGGTTTGCCTCATCATCATTGGACATGATGTGATGATAAGTGGCCATCACTGCTGTGTGCATAGCATCAACATCACCACTGTGTGTCTTCAGAGCCCACTCATAATAATTGGTGAGCTTGGAGATCAGGTCTCCTGTCAAGTGGCCCTTTCCCTCAAGACTCTCAAGGCCAGGGCCCTTGTGTTTTGCAATCAAGTTGCGCAAAGCAGTGCCCATACGCGTTTGGACATGATTAATGCAGTCCTCTTTTTCCACGGGGTTATACACATAAATCTTATCTTCTTGTAGCGCAAGGTAACTGCGGCGGTCCCTGTCGCAAAGCACTATGGTGTAGCGCAGGTTGTGCTGCTCAAGTGACCTCCAGAAGAGGATGAGGGCAGCCTCAACCTCCATTTCCTTAGCCTTCTTGTCACTGTTTTTCTGAAACTGGTGATGTTCCTTCCACGCTGCATAAGAAGGGTCACCTTCCTTTGGGCCCTACTCGCATCTTGCACAAAAGTTGCTCAAGACAACGAAGTCAAGCACCAGCCCGCTGAACAATTCTATGACAGTGCTGAGACCGATACGCGACGAATGACTGCGAGTCATCCATGACCCATCAAACGACACCGCGATGTTTCCCATGTGGCCTATATTAAGTTCGGCGTAAAGTTCGCGAACCGACCGCAGGCAGTCGCTCGTCAAATTGCGTGCAGCACAATCAACCGCGGGTGCCAACTTCGTCTTCACGTAGTGTTGCCAAGTTTTTGTGTGAAGACCCCGACGGCTGATGCCCATCAACAAGAACACATTATTCAGCGCGGTCTGTGTGTTCCCCGTTGCCTCCATGGCATGCGCGGCCAAAACGTTCACAGCAAAAGGTTTCATGCGTTCATCGCTACGTACGCGCAGCGAGCTTCACAAGGACGCAGTCTCCCCGCAGGTCGAACATAAAACCCAACTTCACGGCGAGTCTGAATTTTCGGTCGTCGCGGACAATCTGCAGTTCTTCGTTGCATGCCTTGCACTTTGCAAATGCCAACAAAGCGCTGTTCACTGTGTCCAAATCTATGATTGTGAACGTGGTTCCATCAGTTGGCCGAGCTGCTTCGTTGGAACCGTCAACCACAAATGCGTGTTTTCGCTCCGTCGCTGCAGTGGACGACAACTCTGATAACTTATCTTGGGCTTTAGCTCGCTCCTCTTCCAAGTCAGATTGCTGCCGATAGATAGTATCTATACGCACACGACCGATGCTTGAAGGCTCCGCAGCTGACGAACTTTGCACAGGCTCCATGACAACTGATGCGGTAGCTAGGCCTTCCGTGGTAGCGTGGATGACTTCGCCATAGGAAGCGGAGAGTGTAGCATCTTGGGGTTTTACTGTATCACGGAGCACTTCTTCAAACTCGCTACTAGCGTCCTTCGTACCTTTTTCACACCAAACTTGTGTCGCGTGCGTAATTCGCGCTCAGGATTTGACATCGTGAAACTTCTCCACTGACACCGAGGCAAAATGGCGTGCATGGACGTGCGCCTCAATACCTGGAGCAGACGAAGCCAGGAGCCTCCACCAATAGGGAAGCAAGCTCAAGTCAAGTGCGTGAAATAGCGAATAGGAAGGCACTCTGATACTTCTTTTTGCCGCTCATTTTACAAGCTTACAATGGTTTAACTGGACCCATTCTTGCGGGATTTTGAAGGCGGAAGACAGCTCTCTCAAATGAGACCAAGCGGGCTGTGCTGGTACACATGAAAGGGCAGGGGCGCGTCACAGAAAATGTGCGATTTCAACGTCGAATTTGGCTCAGATTTAGCTTGAAAGTGCCATATAAAGGGTCTTAGCGGCTAAAATAATGATAATATATACATGAAATTCACGATATAAGTGCACTAGTAGCGGTAGATTTCAAAAACGTAATAAAAAACTTGTTTTTTTCGCAATTTTTCAGTCTCCACAACCCGTGTCCCCCCTTAAGAGAACAAACTTCGTTAAACAAAATACAATCATTGGCAAATAGCCTAATTTGTACTGAGGGACAAATTTCATTAACAATGTCATTTATATATATTAGAAACAGTAATGGCCCTAAAACACTACCCTGGGGAACTCAGAGGTTACGGAAAGTTCATTAGAAAAATAATAATATATTGATACAAACTGCTTGCGATTAGACAAATAAGCTGCTACCCAGTTAATAATGTACGCTGGAAGGTTAATTGACTGCAATTTTTTTACGGGTTTAATATGAGGAACAAGGTCGAATGCTTTCTTAAAGTCCAAAAATATAATGTCAATTTGGCTTGACTTGTCAAGAGTACTTGCAAGGTAGTGTATGATTCGTAAGCTGTGTTACAGTGGATAACCCTTTGCGAAAGCCATGCTGGTGAGGAGACAGTACATTGTTATCAATTAGAAGCTTAGTTATTTCATTAGCAATAATATGTTGGACTAACATGTAGCATGCAGTTGTCAATGAAATGGGGTGATAATTGGTTAGTTGGACTAAGTTGCCCTTTTTTTGAATGGGAACGACCCGTGTAGTTAGCCAGTCTGCAACAACAGTGGCTGATGACAACGACGAACGATAAATGATTACTAGAAAGGGAGCTAGCGCTTCAGCACACCTGCGTAGAAAAGCATTCGGTATGTTGTCTGGTCCTGGAGAGGATTTAACTTTAAGGTTCAACAGCATTGACACAACCCCTGGTTCTTACCGTATTTACTCGCATAATTCTTGCGCTTTTTTCGGCGGAAAACCGATGCAAAGTTGGGGTGTGCGAGAATTACGTGGGGAAAACTTTTCACGAAAACATAGTGCAAAAAAGAAAACGAAGTGGCCGCAAATCGGGATTCTCACACCAGCAACTAACAGCAAGCTTTGAGAAGTACTAATTAAAAGTTACCTGAACATTAAAAGCACTGGTTCAACACAAGGCAAGATTTATTTGAGACACTAAAAGTGCAAGCAAATAGTCGAGAATTAGAATACCATACGCAAAGCTTGTGGGTGTTGCGGCCGTAGTGGTAGCATTCATCGCGCAACAGGAGCCCTCAAAAGGTAAGCGTAGGACGTCAGTATTAGGCTGATGGCTTTCTAATAGAATCGTCCGCAGTTTTCTTCTGAAGAAATAAAGTTTACGATCAATCCCAGTTTTAGGCCATGGCAGGTACAACGCGTATTGGTGGCTTTCAGCTGCCGTCACCAGTAGCAAACACAAAACTCACAGACTTCGAAGGGCCTACCGGCGGCCCTGTTGTCGTTTAGTGCATGATCTATCACTTTCAACTTGAAAGCAGCCGTGTAGCTTCAGTATCCCCCCATAACGTGACAAGATTACCAACACAACATACAAAACACGCCGCAACGCGCACTTGCCGCTTTGGCTTGGCTTGGATTGGATTGAATTTCCGTGCAGTAATAGTACAATTGATTGTTAAAAGATGGCGCCAGATGACGTGCGCTATTATCGCCAGTTGCTGGAACGAGCAGACGACGTGATTGCGGCAGTTTTAGGGGGTGCGATAATTACTCGAGAAAAAAAAATGAAGTATTTTTATTGGGCGATGTTGGGGGTGCGAGAATTATGCGAGTGCGAGGATTAAGCGAGTTAATGCGGTATATGATATCAGGGTTCGAGTGACATGGCATGCGATCAGGGCTTATAGCGGTATCAGAATGAGAAAATACTTATTGACAATAATAATTAAAGTGTTCCGCAATACATTTTTTGGTTACAACGACGAAGCCTTTTCCGATCGTTAAACGACGAAGCCGTTTCCAATCGTTGGTCATCGGCCACTGCTGGTACGTAGGGCAGTCAACTACTCTAAATGTAAGCATGTTTATATAGGCCAGCAACTGCTGACATCTACTGGTAGCTTTGAGAAATACTACCCTATATGGCTGCGTAGCAATGGGTGCCAGCTTTATCTGTGGATGCAGTTTCAGTGAACACATACCAAGAAAGTTTTACTGTACTTGTAGCAAAGGAGTTGTTCTTTTGAGCAGAAGTCTGTTGAGAAGCATTTGTCATTTCTTTCTGGATACTGTAGCTTTGAGGGAGTGCCGGCCACACTAACAAGAAACTCTGTAAACAGCAGTTCTGTGCTTATCGAGTTTTTCATCGTGAGCTTTCATCTTTCCTTTCCTGCTGATTTTTTGAGTAACACACAACTCCTAAGTTGTCTCACCTAACGGCATTTTACCTTTTCACCATGCCCTGTAGGAGCTCATTGAGCCCTTCCGGACGTACGTGGGCATCCATGGCAACAATGGTGTCACGGATATTCAGCAACAGAGCGAGACACTGGTGACTGCAGGACGTGATGGGCGAGTGCTGCTTTACTCCCTCAAAAATCGAGACCTGCATTACCTACGTGTCTTTTGGGTGAGTACACATGTACACTTGTTTCTTGACCACTAGCTAGTGAGTCTATGTCAAGCTGCGATTCTGCTCAGGAATGCTTAACATACAGTATGCTTATTCCAAATGGGCTGTGATCATCCATTGTTGTTTTACCACATGTACTTTTTTTTTTCAAGAATATCCAACACTAAACTTTGAACACAGGCTTACGGAAAGTTTAGCCCCGGATGCCTTTCAAAAATAAAATATGTACCACCGGCTAGCCCCACAACAGGGTTTATTAAGCATACAGTTTTCATTTTAGATTAAGCTGATTTATGCTGTAAATTGTCAATTTATCAAAACTCCTCCACCAAAAAAAGCACATGAAATGTGTGATGGTTTAACTATTGCACTTTGAATGAGCAGAATAAAATAAAGGCTTAGTAAGCATCTGCCCCAAGCACATTTAAATAAGCACTGAACAGTAGTACACTTTAACTAGCCATTGCAAATTTAAATCGCCTGCTGTGCACCGCCACGTCCAACAAAGACGTGAATGCGATTCCACAGCAAATGTGACCTAAAGTACCAATTACAATGCCTTTTCTTACTTTTTGGCAAAGTGCCGATGAGATTCTGGTTCTTGCACACAATGGTATGATAACATGCAGTGGCAACACTAAGTAGAATTTTGAAACTATTGCTATGTATGGAACACTCATTGACTGACAGAGTGCTTACAAGTATCTATTGGTTTTCATTCATATATGTGTGCACAGTGATACAGCAATATGCTATTTGAAAACGCCTTTTTCCAAAATATTGGAGTTTCGCGTGGGGTCCCTTTCCAGTTGTGTGCAGCCCATCATTTGCTCTTCTCGCACTATCGCAGCCTTCACTGCCAGGCCACTTGCTGTACAGTACTCAAGCATTTGGTGTGCTTGTATTCTTTATTTCTACTTTTTTCCAGACTGTCCATGAGTATGACGAAAAGTTAGTTGGGTCAATGTGGCAAGGAGGGTGTCCTGCAATCAACTTTGCAAGGCTCTAGATGAGGGAGGCACATTTGGCCTGTTGTCCTAACAAATGTGCACAGTACACTGAAAATATCAGTACACTTGCTATATCTGTATGCGTGCAATTAGCATGATGACAGTGTCATTGCACAAAAGTTTCTCAGTGCCTGTACTCCTGAACTTGCCAACAGCTTTTGTTTTTACAGTCGAATCTCATTGATTTGAACACCCTTAATTTGAACTTCCGGTCAATTAGAACTCATGCTGAAGTCCCATCAAAGCTATGTGTATTTAAATGCTCGAAAACACTCTGTTATTCGAACGCGCAAGCACTTGCGACATTGAATTCGAACATAACGGGCTCCGAATATGCTCTCAGCACCATGCCCAATCCCGTGGCGGCACCTCTGACACCTTATCGCTGCGTGCAATAGAAAAGAAAAGGCTGCGGTGGAATGTTTGTTCTCTCTCAAGTGCCGATCTGCGACGCGCCTGTGCTATGCTTCTCTCTTTTTCATTCCTGCCACGTAAAGATCCTTCTCCTTTCAATGCTGCTTGGAAAGAAAGAGAGGAAAAAAAGGAAAGGTGTCCCAGAGTGTTTGTTCTCTCTCACCCGCCCCTGCCACGCTTCCCCCTTTCTTTTCTCTGCCACGTAGACCCTTCTTCTTTCAAAGACGTGCGCAAAAAAAGCTAAAAGAAAAAGGGAAAGAAGGAAAAAAAGACTGCTCTGGAGTGTTGGTTCCCTCTCAATTGCCGATCTGCTTCTCTCCATGTGGAGACGCTCCTCCTTTCTCGTCACGTGTTGGCCACGCTGCGGCTGCAGCCCAGAGGGTAGCAGCGAAGACACAGTTGTTGCCGTCCTCTTTAGAGGCTCTGAACATTGCCGCGGACAACCTATTTTGCCAGGAGAATGCTGAAGCCAAAGTAAAAATTCTTTGCAAGCTGCGTACTAAATTTATTGACTCGCTGCATGACAAACGTGTCCAGGCATGCATCACCAATTACTTCAGTTAATGACGGATGTCCTGTGATTTGTGAATAACTGTAAGTCTCCTGAAACTTCCCCCTCGTGTGTTAGCACATTGCAGATGGGCCACTGCATGGTGAGCCCTCCGTTTATTTAGCTTTCATCAATTTTAACTTCTTTTAAGAGGGCAGACTGCTCTTAGACATTCTTTGTTTATTTCTTCAGTGATCTCGATCAAACTGCACAGGATTGTGCAGTTTTGGCTGCTGATTTCAAATATTTAATTAGTTTTTCTGTAACTCATCTTGTTCCTGAGGTAACTTTAGTTCACCTCCTATTGTTTAAGGTCACCATAGAGAAAAGTACTCAATTAAAAAATGATATTTAAGATATGCCAACATAGAACAATGAGTATAGATTGAAAGTATGTAAGAGTTTTTGTTTTTAGCTCTTTCTTGGTTATTTTGCAGCAAAATTAACTATTTATTTTTAAAAGCAGTTGGACTTGCGTTACAGTTTTGATGAATTATAATTGAAAAGACTTGTGTTCTAAATTCTGCTCCCATACTTGCATTCTACTCACATACAGGTTTGCATTCAAAAGCATTATTGTTTTACCTGCCATAGCTGCAGAGATATTGAGGCCTCAATATTCAACAGTCACAAATTTACTTTTTTTTTTGATAAAAATGGAAAAAACGGAAAAAACACAGCTTTCTTAAAAACACTAATCACAGTGTGCATGTTTTTCAATGCTCATTAAGGCACTCATAAATTCATAGCAGAGCTTTTAACACAAGTGCCATCAAATTGTAAAGAAGCCTCGAAGACGGTTCCCCATTTTTTTGCTGGTTCTGCATGTTAACAGCACCAAGAATCTGGACAGTTAGAATGACATTACAAAAAATTGCCACTTCCTGGTATGTGAAAATTTGCAGAGAGATAGAAAAATACTTGCAGAAACCAAATATCTCAATTTTAAAAACTGAATTTTTTGTCACTTTTTGGTCCCAATGAGCAGTCTGCCCCCTTAATTCAAACAAATTTTCGGGCCCCATCAAGTTCAAATTATCGAGATTCGACTATACGAGCACTTTTCAGCAGCCTCATAGATGAGGCGGCAGCAGCGAAGCATGCTTAAGTCGTTGCTTGATAAAATTGTGCATGTTTAGAATAGTGCTATACCATATGTTCGGCCTAGCAGATAGCTAAAAATGCTTGTTGTGATGAGATGATCAGAATTATGTCACACTTGCGCATTTGTCGGTGGCTGCCACGCCACTTTATTATTTGATGCTTACCAGTAAATGCATAAGTGCGCGTAAATTAGATATGATTGATGGATTGGTCTCTGCAGTTGCCAAAAAGATGACGACCTTTTTCACCATAACATGGTGTTAGTGAGTTGAGGGGCTGCAGTTAACTTTAATGCTTTAATGTGAAAAAAACTATTGCAGTATGCACTGACGGGTAGGGAGAGAATGAGCAACTACAGCTAAAGTGGTTGGCTCTAAATACTCAATGCTCTAGCTTGGTCTAAATACTCGATGAAAATATACTGCTGTAAAATCGAAGGAGTAATAAGAAAATAGAATGTTCAAATGAATGCACTTACCGAGCAATTGTTCAGAGCACTACAATTAAAGCATTTTGCAATTTAGCTGCTGGTGTTTGTCATACAAGTGCGTAAAACAGTTGCAGCACTTGTTTGCATTCTCTACATTTAACTTGAGCCAAAATGTTTTTGCCTTTCTTAGATGGCCAAATTCTATTGTACATCTTTATTCCCGTTATACTCATGGTACAAGCCAGGGTACTTCTAAATGCTTCTTTTATTTTTGGCCCCACAATAAAAGACATATGTAGCTCTACCTCCCTGGCCAATGACAAGCTTCCAAGCTGCAAACCTGCCTGCATGCCAGCGCACGGATAAGGCACACCTTTGCCGCGCATGTACCGTACCCCTAAGCACGGTCCCTTAGTTTACTCAATTTCATAGATGGTATTCCTCGTAATGCACAGTCGAAGTACTCGTAAAACTACGTGAAACGGCGACAAAGCTGACAAGCTCCCGTCGCAGTGGCCTACACTACCCTCTCCCCCGTGTTACCTGGCAGCGCCTCCAGCTGTAACGCCACGTTCTGGCCTAGCGCAGATTTCGTGCAAGGCGGTGCTTCCGGGCAAGGGTAACACAGCTCGTTTTTCACACCTCCCCTTTCTAGCCACTCTACTATAGTGGTGGTTATCTGCCCCTCCGCTTTATAGGGCGTATATGAGCATTTAACCGTAGGAGCGTTAGTAACCGCCACCTGTTGTCATTGGGGCGAGTATTAAACATTTTCTGGCCTGTTTGGTGTCGCGCAGTACAAGTTTTTATTACGAGATAACAGTTCACCAATTATCTCTCGCATACCACCTACAAGGCAACAAGTCTGCCAGAATGAGTCCCTCGTTATGAGTGAAGGAAAGTCTAATCTTAAGGGCTCGTTTTTCTTGTTAAAAACAATAATAATGAGAACTGTAGTGTTCGTATCCTGAAGGAGTATGGTCAATAGCCGGGGTTCAGTCTTGGCGAGCAACAGGGCGGTGTTTACCGTCGCCTCGCGTGACTAACGACGCTGCAAATGCGTGATCAGACGAACAGCCAGGGCACCGAGCGCAGCTTGGCAAGTACACAGTAATGCTCTCAATCAAGTTGCAACACTTTATTGCCTGCGGCAACATGAAGCAGTACAGTGCCCATTGCAAAAGACGGCGGGAAAGCAAAGGAGACGAGCGAAAAGTACAACACTAAGAGTGCCGCGAGCCCGTCTCCATGGGCAAAAGGGTTCACAGTGACATGCCACTGAGAGAAACGGGCCCTCACGATTATGCTGCACGCTCTCACAATCAGTGACAACAAGACCCGATCGCTCGAGCGAGGGCAAACTCTGCTCATGTACAGGTACAGGTCAGCGTAGTAAGACCATTCATGAACCCGCCACACTGCTCTTCGGCCTAGTGTTTGGAAGGGCCAACGAGAGGTGAGCATTCGATGTGGGCGCAAGGCATTGTTG